TGTTCATACTCTGTCTCTCTCTGTCCCAAAAATAAATAAACATTGAAAAAAAAAATTAAAAAAAAAAAGAAATACTGAAACAGTGAAGAGAAGTCCCAGACTGACAGCACAACGTCTAAATTGGAATAGGAGGACGGGGGTTCAAAAAAAAAAAAAAGAAAAAAAAAGTCTCCAAGGGAAAAAAGAAAAATAAATGAATAGAACACCTAATGTGTCTAGCACATGCCAAGTTTTAAAATACTACCGGCCTATTTCAGGGTGAAGTAGTCATGGGAATACACACACACACACACACACACACACACACACACACACGCGCGCGCGCGCGCGCGCATACAAAAAGGTAAAACAATGATTAACTTCAGGAAAAACATAAATAAAAAGAAAATGTAATCAGAATATACTACACGGCCCGCCTGTGCATACTTCTACATAGCCACAATAATTCAAACACAGAATCGTGCTTTAAACAAAATAGTCACCGAGTTAATACTGTGGGACAAACCGGGGGCTGGTAAATGTCAGGGAGTGGGCGGGGCAGAGCCAAGATCTTAAGCTACATCATCTCCCATGATGGGAAGTCAATATATAATGTTTAAAATAAAATTTAAACAGCCAACGGAGGGGTGTCTGGGTGGCTCAGTCAGTTAAGCATCTGACTTCGGCTCAGGGCATGACCTCCCGGTTCAGGAGTTCGAGCCCCGCGTGGGGCTCTGTGCTGACAGCTCAGAACCCGGAGCCTGCTTCGGATTCTGTGTCTCCCTCTCTCTCCGCCCCTCCCCGGCTCGTGCTCTGTCTCTCAAAAATAAACAAACGTTAAAAAAAATAAGAAAATAAAATAAAAAGCCTCTAGATGAGAAGAGGGTGGGCATCGCTGAAAGGAAAGCTAAAAAGAGTTGGAAGGAGCATCCGTGGGAGCGAGGGGCATGGGTGGGAAATAGGTCAGATTTTTTTTTTTTCGTTTTAAGCATATTTTTAAAAAATTATGCATATGTGTAAATTTGCTAAAAAATAAAATTTAAGTGAAAAGGAGACATATGAAGGAATTAGAGACAGTTCGGAGGACTCTCCAAAGCATGCTTCAAGGCATACCACAGTGAACACTCCTGTAACACCCACCAGGTGCACAAAACGTCCTGACAGCTTTTTCGTACCCATCTCTTAAATAAGAGTGAGAAGCCAAGGATCATCAGACATTTCAAAAAGGTCTCTAACATGAAATACAGGGTTAAAAGCAAAAAGAAACGCAAGTGGGGAGAGGGTGGGGAACCAGAAACTAGGCCGTAGAAATACAATGAGAAGAAAATACATAAAAAAAACTTCTAGTAATATCCTCAGCAAGATAATAAAAGACACTATATGCACGAATTGAGAAGAGAATACTCTTTTTTACGAAGGAATAAAAAGAGGGACACCTGGGTGGCTCAGCTGGTTAAGCGTAGGACTCTTGGTTTCTGCTCAGGGGTCGTGATCTCGTGTTTTGGTGAGTTCAAGCCTCACATCTCTCTACCCCTCCCCCACTCACGCTCTCAAAATAAATGAACTTTATAACAAAGGAATAAAAAGAGGAAGGGGGGGGAAGAAGGTAGGGAGGGAAGGTAGCAAGTCCAGAAAACAAAATTAATTTAAAAATAAATAGAATCCCACAGATGAAAAAAAAAGTAATAGAAGAGTTGTGGGGGGCAGGGGGGCACCACACTGAGCATGCAGCCTGCTTAAGATTCTCTCTCTCTCTCACTGCCCCTCTCCCCTGCTCACGCTCGCTGTCTCTCACTCTCTCTAAAATAAAAGAAAGAAAGAAAGAAAGAAAGAAAGAAAGAAAGAAAGAAAGAAGAAAGAAAGAATTGTAAGATAAGGTTGAGAATATCGCCCAGAAAAAAAAAAAAAAAAAAAACAGAAGAAAAAGACAGATGAACATTCGAAAGGTAAAGGAGAAATTCATGAAGTCTAACATCCAACTAAGGAGTTCGAGAAGAAAGGAACAGGAACAGAAATAGAGGTGAAAAAACAAAACCTACCAAAATGACAAAGCAGGAGTTTCACTGCAAGGGCTCACAAGCACACTGGAGGAAGACAGACCTAGATCAAGGAGAAATTTCAGAACGCAAAGGACAAAGGGAAGACCCTAAAAGCTTCCTGAGGGTGGGGACACGTTATCAAGAATCAGGAGACCAGAGGACCCTAGCGCAATACGGCAAGTTACAACACAACACAGCAAATGCCTCCAGACTCTTTAGAGACAGTACTTCCAACCTAGAATTCCAGGCTCAGCCACAAACTCACCAAATCACGAGGGCGGAAATACAAGCTATCGTTTGACATGCCAGCTCTCAGGAAATTAACCTCGCACATACCCTTTCTCGGGAAGCTACTAGAAGATAAGTTCCAACGGGAGGGGTAAACCAAGAAGGAAGATGATGTGAGAGCCACACAAGGGCTCCTACGTAAGAGAAGCCAAGGAGTCCCTGGGGTGGTAGCCAAGGGCCCGCCCAACATGGAACCAGGCAGGCAAGAGAGAGCAGCAACCAGGCCAGATGGAAGTAGGTCAGAGACGCTGGGAGGGATGTCTTAAGATGTCGAGAGCGAGAGCGAACCTGATGTGTTGGTTGTATTGTGAAAGAAAGAAAAAGCAGTCACGGCAAACAATACAGGGCGGCTTGGCACAACATTTTCCAGGCACAATAATGTAGATACAGTTGTAGGTGCCACAAACTCCATGACGACTATTGAGCAGGTGTGGGGAGGGCCCGTGTGTATGGGTTAGGAGGGAGTTAAGGGGCGCCTGGGTGGCTCCGTCGGTTGAGCGTCCGACTTCGGCTCAGGTCACGATCTCACGGTCCGTGAGTTCGAGCCCCGCATCGGGCTCTGGGCTGATGGCTCAGAGCCTGGAGCCTGCTTCCCATTCTGTGTCTCCCTCTCTCTCTGACCCTCCCTGTTCATGCTCTGTCTCTCTCTGTCTCAAAAATAAATAAACGTTAAAAAAAATTTTTTTTAAAAAGAAGGAAAGCCAACAGATAATGCTAAAGACTGAAAGAAAAAAAATTAAGAAGTGTCAACAAAAGCCTTGTCACTCGGAGAAAAATCAACACCAAAGGAAAAGCCAGAGGCGCTGGAAGTGGTCCTCTAAGGAACAGGGGGCTGGCCTGTGTGTCTGCTGGATCCTTGTAATAAGCCATACAGAACTAGATGCTTCTATGTGTACATACGGCTTCAGTAAAAACAAGAACCAAAGGTTTGTTTCATAGAGACTCAAGAGTACTCATCATTCTAGTATATAAAACCATCCACGTAAAAACAAGGATTTTTCAGTCTTGCCAGACATAGGAATCAACAGGCAGGAGCAAAGCAAATGGTCCTGCAACCGAGAGGCCTGGACACAACACACATCCTTTCTTCTGCCTGATGCCTCAGCCAGAAATATCAGCAGATAAGAAATAACTGACCTCAGCCACTAGTAGGATTCCGTGTCTCTAAGGAAACCAAAATAATCAGGAACTCAGGCAAACACAGGCACCTCAAGTACATCTCACAATTTAGCTGGTAGGCCAGTGTCCACGGGACTAAACCAGAAGGCATGTGCCCCTGCCCCCTCTGCCTTCTGTTATTCAAATTTCCACCAGGGATCATTGAAGCTAGGAAGCTGCTAGAAGCTAGCTAGGAAGCTACTACACAGCCACAAACCTTGGGGGATTTACAGGTTATGTGAGGATGGAAAGGCAGCTCTAGGAAGCACTGAGAATGGCTGAAGATGACAGAACAGCAACAAAGCAGGCTGGCTCTGTGACTAAAAGATTCAGTTTTCTCTCTTCCAGCCTCTTGCAGAGGGGCTACGATGAGAGACTGAAAAGCTGATTAATCCCCGCTTTACAGTGCCGTAAACAAACAAAACTGAAGTCACTGATCATCTATCCCCAGCTTCCATTTCTTCATCTATGAAACGGAGATAAAAATTACACCCCTACCACTTAGAATTGTTTTGAACGCTGAGCGAGCAAATACATATTCTAAGATCAGCGACTGGAGGGATAATAAGCTGTCAATACATTTTGGTTACTTTTCTCGCCCAAGCCTCTTTAAAATCGAGTGACCCGGGACGGGGGTGGAGAATTGGGACTGGGGGAGGGGTGGGGGGAGTGTCTGGCCAACCCAAGAAAGTAGCAAGAGGGAACCCCCGGTTACTCCAGGCTGTATCCTGAGGCATTTAGCCCGGCCCCAAGCACCAGCGACCGTCCATCCGGCCTCCCGCGCTGAGACCCCAACTCTGCCACCGTCTGGCCAGGAAAGAAGGTGGAGGAGGACCAGGGCAGAAACAGTAGACGCACAGCACCCGAGGGCCATCTTCCAGCTACGGCTCCACCTCTACCCCGCGGCAGCCTTTTGATGAGGGGTGCGCGCACGGGGGACGAGTGGGTGGGCAAGAAGCGGAGAGCACCTCGCACTTACAACGAATATTCTCCCACCAACCAGGAGTTACGCAACCGCCTGCGTCAACAAATTCAAAATACTCTTCAGGGACAATGCAGCGAGGTCAGGGACTTAACACAGAAAAACAGCGGCCCCATTCATAAGACTGAAAGCTGGGCTCAGCGACCTTAACCTCTTGAGCTCGGTCCCCTCTGAGAATCTGACGGAAGCTGGGCTCCTCTACCGGGGGGGAATAAAAGGTGCTTAGATATAAATAGATGGGATTTCGGAGCTCACTAAGGCAACCACGGCCCTCGGAGGAAGACCCGGAGTTCAGCGCCACTTCAACCCAGTTCACAGCGGGCCCAACCCAGAGCCACCCGATGACGGAAATAAGGGCGGGAGGGCGGAGGCGGGGCTGACACCACCCTTATTTCGGCCAGGGAGGCGCATTCTCCGTCTACCAGAAAACAAAACAAAAAATGAATAAATAGGAAGGGCTTGCCCTGAGCGCTGCGAGACACGGAGCTGGGCAGCTCGGACGCCAGGGGCAGCCCCCTCCCGGCCCCCTCGCGTCCCCCCTCCCGGCCCGGTACCTGGCAGGGCCACGTCCGCCGCCTCCTCCGCGCTCGCCGCGTCCCGGGCCTCCCCGGCCTCCGCCGCCTCCGCGCCCTGCTCCTCCGCCGGCCCGCGCGCCCGCCGTTCCGGCCCCTC